CTCTGCAACTTACCTGGCTGCTTCTTGCTCCTCGTGGCCCGACTGAGGGCTGCTGGGAGCAGGGGGCAGGGTTTGTTGCATGTGCCCGCCCCCTTGGCTCTTTACTGCCGGAGCTCCGCTCCAGTGCGCTCCCGCAGGAAATGACCCCTGGCTCCTCCCCCTCAGGCGGAACAAGGTCCTGAACCACTTCAGTATAATGCAGCAGCGGCGGCTGAAGGACCAAGGCGACGAGGAGGAGGAGGAGAAGGAGAAGAAGAGCAAGAAGAAAGGCAGCGACCTCCGGATCAACGACCTGGAGGAGGACCTGGAGATGAGCTCGGACGAGAGCGAGCTGAGCGACGCTGACGGTGCGGGGGATGGGGACGGGCAGGCAGAGAGACACCCCCCCCCCCGAGGGACCCCTTCCGAGAGGCCTGTGGGCCGTAATGGGCTCCCCCGCAGTCCCCTGCTCCCGCCTTCCTTGTCTGGAGCATTCCGGGAAGAAGTGCTGGGTTTGGCCGAGCCTCCCAGGGGTGGATCCAAAGTAGGGGGCAGGCAGCAGTCTAGTCCCTGCTTTAGGCCTTCTGCTGCTTTTGGGGGATTGAGGTGGGCGTTGTGGGGTGGGATCCAGGGCCAGGGCCTTTTCGGTGGCGGCCCCCAACCTGGTGGAACGAGCTCCCGGAGGAGATCAGGGGCCTGCGGGACCTTGTACAGTTCGGCAGGGCCTGCAAGACGGAGCTCTTCCGCCAGGCTTTCGAGTAGGAGCCCGCCACTACTACCACTACTACCACCAATGCCAGCAATTACCATCTGCGGTGCAAGGCCAGCCTAATCGATATTCTATGGTACCCTCTGGAGCCCAGAGCCTGAGAACCTTGGGGGCGGTATGATATGGTCTGCCGCTGTGATTTAAAATTGTGAGCATTTTAATTGTAAGTTATTTAATTGTTTTAACTGTTTTATGATCTGGTAAAGGTAAAAGGTAAAGGTCTCCCTTGCTCGAAAGCCAGTCGAGTCCGACTCTAGGGTTGCGGTGCTCATCTCCGTTTCAAAGCCGAAGAGCCAGCGCTGTCCGAAGACGTTTCCGTGGTCATGTGGCCGGCATGACTAAACACCAAGGCGCAGGGAACGCTGTTCCCTTCCCACCAAAGTGGTACCTATTTATCGACTTGCAATTTCTTGCTTTCGAACTGCTTGGTTGGCAGGAGCTGGAACTAGAGACGGGAGCTCACTCTGTCATGTGGCAACTCGGGTCTCAAACTGCTGAACTACCGACCTTCCACAACCTGCAGTTCAGCGTCTTAACCACTTGAGCCACCGCAGCTCCTTTATGATCTGGTACATTGTACCAAATACTGTTAGCAGCCCTGAGCCTGCTCACGGGGAGGTCGGGATATAAGTGTGATAAATTAAAAAAATAATCCCACGCAGGGACTCTGGAATCCTTTCCGAACAGGGGTCGGCCGTGGCCACGGGACCGTCCAAGCCACTCCCTTGCAGTGTCTTTCGGCCTTGTCAGCCCTCGCTGCCCGGGCCAGAGAGAACTCACGGAGGGTGCCCCTTTCGCCCGCTTTCCTCCTCGCCCGTCATCTGTTTCTAAAAAGTTGTCTGTGGTGATGGCCCGCGTGGCGTCCTGTGGCAGAGAGTTCCGCATGCTATTGCCCCCGCTGCATCTTTCCTGGGGTCAGACCAGTGTTCCCTCTAAGCTGAGTCAGTGTGAGCCAGCTTACGTTTTTTTTAGCCTCTGGCTCACACGTTTTTTGTCTTCGCTCAGGAAGGAGGGCTCCAGAGCAAACTAGTTTATGCAGTAGCCAAATCACCTGCTCGCCGCTTTAATGCTGGTAGCTAACCAGGTAGAATGTTTTGCTCACAAGACTCCACAGCTTAGAGGGAGCCTTGGTCAGGAGCAGTGTTCCCTCTTAGCTGAGTTAGTGTGCGCCGGCTCACAGTTTTTTAGCCTCCAGCTCACGCGTTTTTGTCTCCGCTCAGGAAGGAGGGCTCCAGAGCAAACTAATTCATGCAGCAGCCAAATCACTCGCTCACAAGTTTAATGCCAGGAGCTCACAAAGTAGAATTTTTGCTCACAAGACTCCACAGCTTAGAGGGAGCATTGGTCAGGAGGAGGCAGTGTAGTCCCTGCTTTAGGCCTTACTCTGTTGTCAGGAGACGCAGGTGGGCGTTGCAGGACTGGATCCCACGCATCCCACCCATCATTTCCAAGCAGGAGTCGGCTGTGGCCACGGCACGTTCAGCTGGCTCCCCTGCGGCTTCTTTTGGCATTGTCAGCCCTCGGTGCCAGGGCCAGAGAGAACGCTGCCCCCCCCGCCCACCCACTCTTCCCCTCGTCCTTCATCCGTTTCCAAAAAGTTTTCTATGGCATCCTGTGGCAGAGCGTTCCCCA